GCTGTCAGGATGAGCCAGCGAACACAAAAACGCGATTGAAAACACTGATGTTAAATAAATTGTCATATTTTAAAGACATGGTGGTCGGAAAATGAAATTTAATGCAGTGCTTCTTGTTCAGTCTATGAACCACTTTATATTGTGTATCTATCACGCAGTGAAGATCACTGAATTTGAAAGAAATCAGACCTTAAACGCAGCAATTTTATAACAAAAAAGGCAGTACACCAGAAGTGCTAAAGCTGGCTGGGTAAAATTAAAAGTATGTGTGCATATAATCCATTGTTGTTGTTTTTTTAACTGGCACAAATTTTACTCCAGCTTTTTTAAATTTATAAGTCCAGTAAATATTAACCAATTCAAATTTAACCACACTTTATTTAAAGCTCTTAAAGTATATTTTTCCAGAATTAATATACGTTTTCCCAAGCAATATAACTTTTTGCAATATTATATATATATTTTTTACAGAGTACGTGAATTTGCACAATCTTAGAAATCAGTTATTATGCAACAAATGTTGTATAGCTTTCCCAGAGATTGGTTGTGGCTGGAAGGGCTTCCGCTGCGTAAAAACATGCTGGATAAATTGGCGGTTATTCCGCTGTGGCGACTCTGGGTTAATAAAGAGTCTAAGCTGAAAAGAAAATGATTGAATGAATGTTGTATAGCTGAACTTGTATGCTAGAAGATTCCCTCAAGAGTGAATGCATGCCATGTTCTGGATCGCGTGTGTTTACAGGACAGCGAGAGGAATTTTTACGAGACATGAGGCCTACAGTACAAAACAGAGACAAAGTTCAACAAGCACTCACGCTCACACTCTTTCTTCTGTTCTTACTCATAGTGAGATACCGTAGATTGAACCTCAGTGTTTAATAATCCTTCCAGAACATGCTGCTAACACACTCTTGTTCAGATCAGGCACATATACTGTATGTATAGACGGGCACAGGGAACCAGATACACACGCGGCTTCTGTTAACCCGAGAGTGAGGAGGTCAATCCAGTTGATCCCTAGCATGCATGCCTCTCATATGAACACACTGCGTCCATGGCAACAAGATTCCTGCTCGCTGTTAGCGCTAATAAAACTAGTGCCATCTGTGGTACATATACTGGATCACTGTACCACATTGGTGAACATCAAAAAATATATAGATGTGGATGTAGCTCTACAAACTCAGAAATAAAGGTACAAAATCTATCACTGGCGGTACCCGGCGACAGTTTTGTACCAATAAGGTATACATTAGTACCTTGATGGTACATTTTTGTACCTTTAAGTAGCGATGTCCCAATAAGGTTCTTTTGGCCTTGAGTCAGAGTCATTTGATTTTAACTATCTACCGATACCCAAACCCGATCTGATACTTCTATAATACATTAAAAAATTGAGTGAAGAAACAGATCCAGAATGTTCCTTATTTTTTATTTAATTCACCTTATTTTAACGTTTAACAACGCTGTTTATAAACAGATCACTTCTGTGAGGTAGCCTAAACAATCAACTAATAAATACCACCAATTCCTCACTTTTTACTTAAATATATAGTTAATATTTTAAAAATCTAATATAAAAACAAACAGCACCTCAACTTAAAATACCCGATAGGCAATCCCAAGTTTACATATCTCACAGATTGCTATAACAATGTTGACATCCTCAACTAATATCGAGTCTGAAATTGCGTGTTCGGGCCCAATTTTCAATCACGTGATTCGATTAGGTCATCCCTACCTTTAAGGTTCAGTTTTGTACCTTTAAGGTGATATGAAGCACACATTTGGACTTTTATTCAGGTATTAAAATGTACCTGTAAGCACATGTTAGTTATTAGATTGTTTCTTTTGAAAAGGTGCTGCCCTCAGTGACAAGTTTTGTATCCTTATTTCTCAGTGTATACAGCTAAACAAAAATATAGAAGTCTGATCTAAGTCTGTAGAATTATCATTAGGTTTTGAGTGGATCTGCAATTGTCTTTCTTATAATGTTTTACTAAAATTAAAATATTTAAGATGAATAAATTGAGTCTATCAAATAAGAAAGAAAACACTTGTTGTTCAGAAATGCAACTCTAACTGATGAAACAATTTTATTTATTAGTTTGAATAAAAAAAAGCTACACTCTGAGCTGCTAAAATGGAAGTGGATTCTCATTTTACTACATTAAATTTATTTTGGAGCATAAAATATACATATTTTAAATGCTCTCTGCTACAATTGTTCCTCTTTGCATTGTTGCTCAGGCCATTGTTTGTAAAAACGCTTCAGTAATTTTTGCTACCAATTTTAACACAATTACTTTACTAATAAACATTAACAATGTGCAATTGTTTCACCGCATTTATTATGCTTTGGCAAAGCTGACCCAATGATTTTTCAGTAAAAGCTTAATAAAACAAGATTGATAAATGATGTAAATATTGTTAAAAATATATTTGATTTAGGAATTTTAACTCAAAATGTTTATGGGTGAATGATATTTTGGTGTTTAGATTAGGCATGGAAGATTCTGACGATATGATAACTTTGGATAAAAATATCACTGTATTTGTGATTACTGCTCTAAAATGTGTGTTTTTTTATGTCTAGGTTAAAAACTAAAACTTGTTCCCCTTTGAACACAATATATATATATATATATATATATATATATATATATATATATATATATATATATATATATATATATATATATATATATATATATATATATATATATATATATATATATATTATTTATTAATTTTTTTTTTTTTTTTTTGAGAATCATTACAAATATTTTGGAGCAGTAAACATGTCAGGCTAAATAACTCAAATTAATTAATTCTGCTGTCTTCATTAGTTAGAAAACACTGATTTCCTTACAATTTAATGGATATCTTTTCTGCTGGAGACACTGTTGTCCTAACAACTAAAAAACGTAAAGTAAATGAAAAAAAATTACGTAGGAACGGCATAGCAGACAATTTAGGCGGTTTTAAAACTCTGACTTTTCCAAACCTTGAAATATACCTTGAAAACGGTTATCGTCCCATGTCTACTTCAGATAAATAAAATGTATTTCATGTTAATAGAAAACAAATTCAAGTACAGTGGTTAAATTTAATTTTCACAAAAGTTGTTTGAAACATTCTTGACAAAATTCTGATGGAAAATAATATTTTATTATAAATCAATTTAACAGATATTATGTCAAATGCACATAATCATTTATGCCTTTACTTACAAAAATATATAAAAATGAATGATCATAATTCATTTGAAACATTTTTAAAATATTCCTGACTAATGAGTATTCTATTTTGAATGATATTTTGATGTGTATTTGCGGTTATTATTTTGGGGCTGCCCTGCAACCCTGTGAAATCTTTTAAATTGTCAAAAATCTAATTATTTTGTTTTAAATTTCCCTGATCAAATTTATTGTATAATAAATATTTTATTTTAGATAACGAACTTTTGGAGCAGCACGGTGGCGCAGTAGGTTGCACGATTACTTCACAGCAAGAAGATCACTGGTTTGAGCCCTGGCTGGGTCAGTTGGCATTTCTGTGTGGAGTTTGCATGTTTTCCCTGTGTTCACCCTTCGGGTGCTCCCGTTTCCTTGACAAGTCCAAAGTCATGCGCTATAGGTGAAGTGGGTATTCTAAATTGTCTGTGGCTTGTGTATGATCAGGTCCTTCAGGTTGGGGGTTAAGCGTTGGGCTAATGATCCACCTCATAAAAATTAGATGTTACGAATCACTAACATGTTGTGTATAAAAAGTAACTTTGATATAACAGGCCCTGTAAGTATTTAATGAACGTGTTTTACTGAATGTCAGTTTGGAGCTTTTGTACATTATAGCAGTGTAATGCTAAGTGTACACACACACACACACACACACACACACACACACACACACACACACACACGTTTTTTAGAGACCTTGGCATCAAAATGTACTAGGGTGATCTGATCATATTTTATAAGATTATTCTGTCTATTAAAGCATCTGATGTACATTGTAAGCCAGTTTTATTTCGACCCCTAGAGAGGTACAGCCACCGCTAATAACACACATTGATCATTGTACTTTCCCCTTTCTATCCATCATTCACTCAGTTTTATTCTAATGGCAAGATGTTTTCTGATCGGCGCGTCTGTGTTAGCATTTAACTGCAGGAACCTGTTTTATTGGTGTCCGTCTTAGCGTGGGAGCACAGGTTTCTTTCATAACCCATGCGATGCTCCACTGTAACTGGGGCATGTCTGGATGGCGTTACGGCACACATCTGACATTGCTGTACTTCTGCCTGGAATGCTGGGAACAGGAGCGCATTTCCAACTTCGGATTATGGATCAAAGTCAAAATCAGAATGAGGAAAGGATAGAGAATCCCACCCTGACCAGGTGGGGCATAAGCTGAAGTGAAAAGCAACACCCAGCAACCGCAGGGGAGAGTTTAGGCCGCATGAATCTCTTTGAAGTGCTGGTGCATGTCATGGTGAACTTGGTCTTGTTGAAGCTGAACCGTAGCGGATTGATTTGCATGGGGGTGGGGGTGAGTTATTGGTGAACCCCACAAGTGTGTGTAAGACTTGGCCATCTGTGGTGGGATATTACAAGTGTCTCACTTCACCTTTCTCTCCTATTGCCCTCTCAGCCCACCCAGAGACTCTCATTCTACAAGGTCAAAAACTTATTTTTGCTTTCACCTAAAAAGGAGCATTTACAGCATAGTATAAATGATAAATGGAGTATTTTGAAAGCTAACTTCACACACTTTAGAGCAGGGGTCACCAATCTCGGTCCTGGAGGGCCTGTGTCCCTGCAGGGTTTAGCTCCAACTTGCTTCAACACACCTACCTGGATGTTTCAAGTATACCTAGTAAGACCTTGATTAGCTTGTTCAGGTGTGTTTAATTAGGGTTGGAGCTAAAATCTGCTGGACACCGGCCCTCCAGGAACAAGTTTGGTGACCACTGCTTTAGAGGAACCAACTAATTAAATCTTGTTAAAAATGTGACCCTTTAATAATGTTTTGAAAGTATTGGCCCATTTTCATACATTGTTCATAAATAGTTTAAATGTCCATGAAATGTATATTTTCAGAAATATTGTTTTTTTTATAACTTAAAGACACAAAATGTAAGATCATGAGCTGAAAAACTGGAGGTGGTGGACAGTGGCGTAATAAAAGCTCTGCTGCTTTCATTCTACAACGTTCTCATCTCTCAACGACAAATGCTTCAGCTGTCTCATTTCACTTCAACCACTTTCAGACTAAGGGCGTACTCACACTATGCACAGTTGCCTTGAACTGGGCCAAAGCACGCTTGTCCCCCCTTCCGTCTCCCCAGCGGCCCGCACTCACGTTGCATTTACACCTGAGCATGCTTACGTCATCGAGGATGCGCTGGTCAGTAAGCGCTCTCGCTCAGCACAGTGGAGATTTCTTTATATTATTACAGTTAGTGACACAGACAAATATTTTGCCACTGATTTCCTGAAATAAACTTTGCATTTCGGTATAATCCAGCGCAGATTTTTGATAATGAGCTGAACTTTTCTTCCCATCTATGCAGTATTGGATGAACACAATATGCAGCATATTCCTCTTTCTTTTCTACTTTGGAGAAAAGAGGAGAACAAAGAATCACTGCTTAAACTGACTCTGAAATGTTTTGTGTGTCAGCATCAGTTGCATAAAACATATGCTGGATAAGTTGGCAGTTCATTCTGCTATGGCGACCCCAGATTAATAAAGGGACTAAGCCAAAAAGGAAAGGAATGAATGAAGTAAATGATTGGATATTATAAACTCAACATGGTCTATTTGTGGTTGTCCTTATTTAATCATATTATCCCACTATCATTTCAATAAGATTAACATAAAATATTCAACAAATGTTAAACAGAGAATTTTAACAAATGTACAAATGACCATGGTTATGTGGAAACACAGGAGTCCAGTTGTTGACGGCTCATGACTCTAGGTCATCAATGTCCAGATGTTTTGTGAGGAGAGCTTCTGGAAGGTTTTGAAACTGCAGATAGAGAAAAATCACCTGGACCTGTGACCAGAAAACAAAAAACACAATGTAAAAAAAATCAGGTGAGAAGATGCAATGTTACGACTGGTGCATAACCCTGTCAATGAGTATGTTTACATGGACACCAATAATTTGATGTTAATATGAGTAAGACAATACTCTGATTAAGAGTCTACCATGTAAACAGCTATTTTTGATTAATTTAATCTGATTAAGGTCATAATCGAACTAAACAGAAACTGGATTAAGACGTGGAGTTTGCAGATTTTAGTCACATCATTGAAGTGCAGCACAGACATTTAAACACCGCAATCAAACTATTACCATCATGTAGGAATTTTATTGCATTTTGTGAAAGGATAGTTCATACACACATGACTGTTTGACACTATTCTCTGCACCTACAGAGTCAGTGAAGAACCACAGACACCTGCGTTGAAGTTTTTCCCCATACGGCGTGCGCTATCAAATTCCATTCAAACAACACTCTTCCAGCAGTTCATACATCCAATATCTTGTTTGTCACGTGGGGCATGCATGAAATGTTCCTAAATTAAAGTGGAAGTGCTGACCAGCATTTAAAGTCGACAAATTAAAAATGAAACACCTGAAATTACATGAAACTCCAGAGGAAACGTGGATAGCGTGGTGACGCAATGACGTTAATCGGTCTATGTGATATAACATGTAAAATGGAATCATGAAAGGGACATTCAAAAAGCAGCTCTTGTCAATAGACATTTAACTGACTATAGGTAACTTTGCAGGAACATGTCAACTAAACCTAACCCCAACCTAACAGTCTACTTATAATCTAATGAGAATTAGTTGGCATGTAGATGCAGTGTAACTTAAATTCAACAAACATACCAATATAAAATAAAGTGTGACTGAAAATATTGACTAAATAAATAAACAAACTTGACTGGGCAGGCATCAGGGCTGGAAGTAACGACCGGACAAGAAAAAAAACTACGACGAACTGGCACAGAACAGCAGATAGGCGAAGACTAAGCAGAAAATATTAACAAACAGGTGAACTGAATAAACTAATAATGGGTTAACAAGGAGGCTGGGACTAGACATTAGACAGGAGAGCACATGACAAAGAAACAACACAAGCCATGTGCTTAAGTAAAACAGGACTAGAACACGCAGCAAATGATGGCCCGTTTCCACTGAGTGGTACGGTAGGGTATGGTACGCTTTTATGGACGTTTCCACTGTCAAAGGGTACCTAAAAGCTGACCGTACCGTACCACTTTTTAGTCACCCTTTGCAAAGGGTACCTAGCACGGAAAAAAGGTACCAAAAGGCAGAGCTATACATGCAGCTGAACGCTATTGGTTTACAGAGTTACTCGCAGAAGCAGAAGAATGAAAACAAAGGAAGCTACATTTTTAAAAACACAGCCGAGACATTACATCGTAATAATATATACATATAATAACAAGCCATGGTCAACCCGAGCTCAAACAAACCTTGTCATCGTCTTGATGAACAGCCACAAAGCCAAGAAGAACAAAATCTGTTGTGTCCGGTTGTTTTACGAGCCCGGCTAAAATCGCGAGTGGTTTCACTTTCTCCAGAGAGCTCGCCGCGCATCTAAACCACTAAAACATGCAGTGCATGTAAACGTACCACGTGCTAAACATAACACCAACAGAAGACTGAACCCAAGACACGAGTACACTATGAATTAAAACTCACAGTGCACGTTTCATCCCAGCACCAGCCAAAACCGAAACAAACTAGACTGAAACGCTGAAAATGAAACACCACGTTGCAGACAGAGCAAACACAAACACCAGGATGAGAGCACGTGTCACAAACACGGCCAGACCTTGCGTACCCACATCACATGAGGAATAGCACGGCCCGATTGCGGCCGAGACGCTGCTCTTACAAATGACACACAATGACAAAAAATTTGTGCTCGACCGGAGAAAACTCAAGCACATCATACAAGACATGACAGGACTAATGTCTGTCAGACTATTGTCTGAAACAAGAATTAAATCCTGACACTTATAATCTGATAACATTAAAGTAATATTTATGGATCTCAGTGCAGATCCAAAATGCGAATTATTTGACAATTTAGATCTTTACACTAAACTTACTAACATATATAAATGTTACTAAAAGATTGCACACTGATGAATGCATTGTGCCAAAACATCTGCGTTTTGTATCTCCTAAGAATATAAAATAAAGCTATATAAAGTAATTATTTAAGCAGCGTGAATCATGACCTTCTGAATCTTACCAGTAGATGATGAAAAAATGAGTTCAACATTATTTCACCCATATTTGATCTTCATTTTAGAAGTGCATGCAATTATAAGGAACATGCGCTAGTCTCCAGAGGTATAAATCTATTGTTTTACATCTCCTGAAATAAACTTCAGAAAATGAGAAACAGACATCTCACAGTCTTCAAAGAAAATAATTGCTTTTACTAGACTTTTTACAGTATATACAACTCTACTGCACAACACACCAGTTAATAATCTGCTACAGAAGATATTGTACAGAAATAACCCACCTGAACTTCCACTTCTTGGGATATGTCAACACGAGACACTGGGGGGCGCAAGAGACTGGGGCCGAACACTGTGGCCAAATTACTCAAGGACATTTTATTCTCTTCCTTCCTCTCTGCAACTCTGAAGAATGCAAAAAGGTCAGATGTGAAATGAGGTCAGGCTAGAGTAAAGCTAAATCAGTGTTTTGAGAGTTACGTATTGAAAAGGATGTTGTGTACCGTCTCAGGTGGTGTAAGAGGAAGAGCAGAGTGTTGCGGTTCACATCTGGTAGAGACTGCAGCAGACTCAGCAAGCTGTCTGCTCTGACAAATGGATCAGCGATGTCTGACACAGCCAGATAGACAGACAAACAGAGATGGTTTTTTCAAATGCTTATTCATTATCACTTTGTAAACCAATTCAGTGAGGTCTTTTAAATCTCTATTAAAATCATTTAGGGATTCTTTTTACTTGATTTAGCATCGTTTGTTATATTGTTATTGTATTTTTCTATAGTAATGCTTCATTGTAAAGCAAGAAAATTACTTTTAAAGTGCCCTTATTATGGATTATAAAAAAAATATATTTAGTTTGGGGAGTCCCAAACAACGGGCTAATATGTATGCAAGGTAAAAAAATTAAAAAAAAGACTTTTACTGACTTATATTGTGCATTTATTTTTAACTTATTGTCCCAGAGTTTCCCGTATAATTTGTTATGGATTTATTTTTTCACACCCCTTCTTTGTGTGACTCTAATCTGCAGTGATTGGTCTATTGCATCCAGTGTGTTTGGGAATCAAACACCCATCATGGCTTATGTGTTGAAACAGGCAGCCAGGGTTGGGCAGGGCCCAGAGGTCTTAAACTGCCATGCCCGCCCACCAGTGTAATGCTTTATTCTTCATAGAGCTGACTGATAGTTATATTAGGAAATGTAGGCATAGAGCCACTATCAGCAATGTGATCAACTATTCAGACTATCCTGTCCAACCACTGTCATTCCATTAGACCAGGTACATAAATATACATGGCATTCAGCTCTGTAAGTATGCTCAAACCATTTGCAACAATTTGTAAAAAAAAAAAAACCTTTTACAAGAGCGTCCTGGCCAAGATTAGGCAGTATACATGTCACATGTGTCAAATCCATCAAATTCTTTAAACTGCATTTTTATTTGTTTATTATTCCATGCAAAAGGTGCTGCGTATTTAAATGCCTTTTTCCCCATCTCAGTCCACATTTTAGAAATAGACAGTAAATAAATATCCTTTGACCGAAGGCCATAGCATTTTTTACAAATGTAATTCATATGATGGGAGTAAACCCAATATAGATTTGTAAAAAAAGAAATGCCAAGGCTTGAGCCTACGAATGGACAAAGCAGACCAACCTGCCCTAGTATACACAACACACAATGATAAGTAAGGGATTTAAAATTAGTTATAAATATAAGCACACCATGGTAAACAGTATCCAATGCATGCAGACTCTGAGACGAAGCATGCATATAGATAACATCACCATAGACCACAAGCATATACTAAATATTCTTGTGCATCTTCTAGCTGTCGTCACCTCCATTTCAGATTATCAAGCCTTAAAGTTCAAGCTGTACAGGGATCACTGCTGAAATACAGACATCTTTCACTGCAGGCTTCAGCATAGCCGTCCTCGAATCTACCATCATGTTTCATGAGACCACTCAATCGATACCACTCAATGAAGTCCTTATCTCCTGTAATGACTTAGCTTATGGTTCCAGGGGGTTATTGCAGAACTCTTGTATGTGCTAATAACCATGGAGCGAGAACCTCCTTTAATAAACTTGTCAATAAATGCACCTTCATTTGGACCTTTAAGGGTCCTGCCTGCAGTCCAAAGAATATCGACATACATTAATTGACATAGATGCAGTTAAAATATTTTGAACTATGACCACAGTGCAATTTTGTCTAAAGTACATTCTGCTGTATTAGAACATTTGTTGGCATGTTCAAGTCATAGAAATCAATGAGGTTCAATGTAGCCCAGCACTTTCCGTGTCTGTTGTGAAAGCCACTTTAGTCGGTTAACCAGAAAGCATAACCCACAGAACTACATACATATTTTGCATGCTACAGAGAGCAATAAGGCAACAATTTAAGTCACACTTACAAGTTGTAATTTGTATCATAATGCAATCCCACCCCCTACACTGCAATAGTGTTTGATGGAAGGGGGTTCAAGTTTTCCCGGGTTATGCGCAATAAGCGGGCAGGCAATGTTTCATTCAGATGTCAAAATGAAATAGCTAAAGATTTACATGTATGACAAGTCCACTCATTCTTTTCAAGAGACATGAACTTTAAAAGTGCACAATGTATAGATTTAAAACTCAACCGAAGTTAATTTATGTAACATTTACACATTTTTTCGAAGTCCAAGGCGCTACACAAAACGAAATGTACCATTATTATTATCATTATCATGTATACTGTTCTAACACTGCATGTTTATGCACATGTACATGATTATTTGTTGAAAAATTATGTCTATTAAACCACTGAATAAAGCAACCACAGCAAACAATCACACCTGTGTTTGTGCGTTTGTAACTCAGAGACCAGCTGACGGCTTTTGTGATTTTTCTGTGTCTTTTCAACACTAACCCTATATCTGTTCCAAATAATCACATAAGTACTTTGTATGTAAACACTGATATCTACAGTAGCCACTCAAATAATGTAAATCACCCTAAAAAAATTTGACACTTCAAATGAAGACTGTTTCAATTACAATTAAAAGTGTATTTGTCACTGAATGATTTTTGTTCAAAAATTTTTGCAATGAAACAGGTCATGCACAATACTCATAAAATGAGCTGAGGGACAGAATTACATTCATACTACACAGAACATACTTCTGAAATAGTCTGGAGCAATCAAGTTTTTTTTCATGTCCTACAGGTTACATTTAGTTGATAGTTCAGAATTGTGGGAGAATTATCTCTTTACTTGGTCTATTATCTCTTTGAATCTCTATTTTTGTTATCTCTTCTTTAATGTCAAGTCATGAATTGAGAAATTAATTTTCCTTTGACATGTAAGAAGTTATTAAGCTGTTTCACAACTAAAGACTTCCTCTTTAGTACAACAATTGTGCATTCATGTGTGTGAACAGCTCACCTAGTGCATCTGAAAGCTCACTGAAATGCTCACAAGGTATAAGAGGTAAAGGAAGTTCTCTAAAGTAGAGTTTAAGGGTGCCCGAGACTGCATTCACATCAACACTCCTCAGTTTACTCACAGCCTCGCGGTAATCTACAGAGAGAGATAAAGACAGAAAAGCACACTTCTGAGATAAGAACTTTGAGAATCTGCTAAAAATTTAACACAAACACACACACACACGCACACACACACACACACACACACACACACACACACACACACACACACACACACACACACACACACGCACTCACTCACTAGTGTTAAATGCATATTTTAGTGCTTGTATCTCCGTGCTTGCTCCTGAAATTCTGTAGATGCCTTCTTCTTTCAGACCCCTTCTCTCAACCTCCTCCACACAGGAACGGACAATGTGTGGGACCAGCACACTCTCTTGCCTAGGGAAAACAGACAGACATGTTGAACAGTTACTATTTTGTTTTAATTTTCTTCTTTCTTTTTTGATAACACTCTAAAAAAAACTATATTTGCAAACCAGCACACAGAAACCTCAAGACAAAGGAAGGAAGTTGATTAAATATATAACACAAACCTTTCCTCCTAATTTAAAGATAATTCGGACATTTAAATTACTTTCCAATAGTTTCATTTAATACACACACACATACATATAAACATACACACACACATACATATAAACATACACACACACACACACACACACACACACACACACACACACACACACACACACACACACATATATATATGTCAATGAATAATAGTGAATGAATAATAAATTAACCTGTGCACTGTTCAAATTTACTACCCTTTTGTTATGCTTGTGATATTATGCTTTTTTAAGTTTTGTTTTTTGCATAAATCTGTAAATCAACCTCAGTCCTGATTAAAACTACTAAAATAATTCGTAAATTACAGCATTTTAACTCTTTAATTGAAAAATTTATAAATGATGTCACTGATTTGATGAAAAAAAACAAAGAAAATGATATTTTCAATATAAAAAGTATATATATATATATATATATATATATATATGTGTGTGTGTGTGTGTGTGTGTGTGTGTGTGTGTGTGTGTGTGTGTGTGTGTGTATGTATGTAATAATGATTTAGGTTGTACACTCACATTGCCACTTGTCCAATGGGCACACAGAACACTGGTTCCTGCAGGATAGGGGTGGTGCTTGGAGGCTCCAGAGGGTGGGGCACATACTTGAGTGACAAGGTTACGTCAACATGGCCCAAAGAACAGGTGACTTTTTTCCATTTCTTAAACATGTTGTCTGGGTCCAACTGTAAAGCACATATATGATTTCTTAATATATTAACCGTATTATGCAGAACAGCCCAAAAAATGCTTTGAATTACTTACGCCACATGATCATTTTTGACAAATATTTTTAAAAGGATGTATATCATATTGTGCATACTGTTACAATAAAAAATACTTTTATTTGAATAGATTTAACAATATTTTACAGAGACAGTAAACTAAACTTTTGATCTTTCAGTTCATAAATAATCATGTTTTTTATTATCCTAATAAATGAAAGCGATAGCTCATATAAACAATCAAGGCAAATTGTTGTTTGATTAATGCTTTAAATAACATTCTCTTTATAAGACTTCTTATAAATACTTATTCTTATGAAGACATTTTAAGAATTATTATTATTGTTATTACTAGTAGTAGTAGGAGGAGGAGGAGTAGTTGTAGTAATTAAAAGATTTTTAAAAATGTATGTTCAATTTATTAGTGTAGGAAGGTATATAGTATAGAAATTTTAGAAAGGAAATATGAAAAGATTTGGACAAAATACAACTATTTGAAAACCTAGAATTTGAGGCATAAAACGAAGATCAAAGTTATTTTCAATGCATATTATTTATTAAAGATTGAGTTTTTATATACTTACATTAGAAAACAGAACAAATATTTTCATAGAACATGATCTTTACTTGATATCACCTGCATCATTTTTTGATGTATATAAGAGAAATGCAGATTTCTGAAAGCAATATTACTCTACTCAACTATGCTGATGACTTGGCCGTGGTTGGACTTATGGTCAAAGGAAAGGAGGAGCTAGAGAAGGCATACTTTGGGCACATATCCTCTGGTGACATGGTGTGAAAAGAGTGCTTTGTCACTAAATGCTTTGAGAATTAAGGAACTAATTAGTAGGGAAGGGCAGCCTATATGTCATTCAGTTACTATTGAGGGTCAACATGTTGGGATTGTAAACAGTTTTAAGTACTTAGAGCTTATTTTATTTAGTAGTTTAAATTTTGGTGAACACGCAGACTATAATTCTTTAAGAAGGCAACACTTAACTCTTTCTTTTAAGGAAATTAAACAGTTTTAATGTTAGTAAGGGTATTCTGAGGAGGGTTTACCAGTCTGGTTGAAAGTATTATCTCATATAATATTACTTACTGGTACAGAATGCTTGGACCTAGAGGCAAGTATAAACTTGCAAAGATTGTTAACACAGCTAGAAAGATCACAATGGACACCCAGAAGCAGCTTGGTGAACTGTATATAAACCAGACTAGACGCAAGGCCTCACAAATAGTTCAGGACTTCACCCATCCATTTTCTTATGAAAAGCTTCCCTCTGGTAGAAGATACAGAGAACCCACAGCAAAACCAAATATTTTTAATTAATAATAATAAATCTCTTATTACTAGTTGTGTGATAAGACGCTTACTCCACGAGACGAGACACGAAATTGGGTTCAAGAGAATGAGACGAGACAAGATTTTTACCCAATTTTTAAGAAATCTTCAATGCTAAAATATCCGAATGGAAAATAATCATTTATTCAACTGAAAAAAAAGCTAAACTATTTGGGTGCTTTTTTTTTAAATTAACTTTTTAAAAAAGTTATTTTACTTCTATTTTAGTTAATTTTATGCAGTAAAGGACATGCAGACGTCGCTAAATATTTTGCTAATATATAAATGGTAAATAATGTTTATATATAATTTTAAATATTATTGCAAAATAGATTTTTATTTTTATTGAACTGGGGGAAAAAAGTAAATAAATAAATAAATAAATAATCACAAAATGCAAAACAATTTAGGTGCTTTTTAATAAAATTGTAATAAATGGTATTTTATTTCTATTTTAACGAATTCTATGCCATAAAGGACATGCAAACACAGCTAAATATTTAGCTATAAACTCTACTGACTGGCTTCTCCCCTGTACAATTTCACATGAGAAATCAAACTCCTTTCCACAAATTGAACGCTTTTTAATTGCTGTGTTAAGTGTTCAGTGATGATGATGAACACACGTTATGGTGTGCACTCGGAGGACATGTGTGTGTCTGTGTCAAACAGCTTTGTGTGCATGACTTTTCCTGTCACAAAATGCGGCTAAAAGTCCTACACAACGGTAATAGTTTGATAACAGCGTTGACATGTTTGTACTGCACTTGACTTCAATAATTAATGCAACTAAAATAGGAGTACTCCACATGTCTTGATTCCATTTGTGTTTACAACGATTATGACTTTCGGCATATACAAAGTTGAATGTTATTCTGTGGTTTCATAGCCAGGGTTGTGTGTTGGTAATCTGTGGTGTAGGCAGCTTTGTGTTTGTGCTGTGTGTGTGTTTTGTATTTGAGAGTCCAAGAACGATTTTCCACATGTGTGGACAATGAAGATTTATAACTTGTCTAATATCCTAATGATTTTAAGCATAAAATGAAAATCAAACGGCCAGAAAATACACTGTTTGGGTCAGAATGATTGATTTATACAATTATGTTATATAGTATGATTTGCTCGTCTCCCAGTGACAGTTGGGTTTAGGGGTGGGGTTGGGTTCCATGCCTCCTTTTAAAAATAAATTTTTGTGCAACTGAATTCGTACGAATTAGCCACTAAACTGACAAAACGTAAAATAGTTAGGTTCCTCAAGAGATCAGGCTGCACTTACAGCATCCTTTTAATCTATTTTAAACAAACAAACAAACAAATACATCAATTAGACAAAAAGCTCAAATAAAATCCTTTACTTGACTCTACAAATTTAGTGCTAGTGTTCATATACTTACATTTAAGACTGTTCTGCCCACGATGTCGTTCTGTGTGTCATTCTCGTACTGACACACGAAAACCAGGAACAGCTGCTTAGCTCCGTCCACTATAAACACAAGCTCCTGTACACCATATTACCACACATAGTGCTAATTAAGATCAATTGAGTAAATTGCATACATTGTAGATCATACATTGCATAAACCGGTTCTTAAACATTCACAACTGCCTCCCACGACTAACCTCATCCCATTGTGGTGTAACACAGAAGGCCGAAAGGCTGGTTTGTTTTCGCCTGTCGTAACACTCAAAGCCGTCTACTTCCACACAAACATACGCACCTGAAAGGGCAAGTGACATGAATTAATGGAAGATGTTTTTTAATGCATGTTGACAGAAATTTTTTTAGGTATTTATTAGGGCTACACTATACTGAAAAAATATGCAATATTGTTGTTGAGAATTGTGATAACGATATACTTTATTTCCCTAGAAAATGCTATTTTTATTACCTATGATTTATTATTACATATATATTTTTTAATTATTACAGTAAACTTTTTTTGTAATTAATTGTATTTCAGACAAAAAAAGGTGTAAAACTGTAAATATTTAGGGTCTTATCATACACCCGGCACAATAAGGCGCAAGACGTATTTGGCGCGATTTGCTGCTATTTTCAAGACTAATTTTCACTTTTTTTGCAATGTTGTTTAAATAGCAAATCCATTTGTGCCACTTTGTGAAATAATGGTTGTTTCAGTCTAAAATAGAAGTGTGTTAACCCGCATTGTTGGTGCGTTGCTAGTTTGAAGAACTGAAATAGACTGCACAAAATAAATAAACCACTACCTTCATGCCTTCTTCATGCCTCCATGCCTTTTTTTCAGTTTATTCATCACAATTTGCATTTGTAAAATGCTATTATTAATAATTATATGCATATTTATATTTGTTTTAATAAAAACAAGTTTCAATTTGTCCACCTGTCGAGTTTTGGAGACGTATGCATTACCATATGGAGCATAAGAATAGGACGTGAGTTTGGATTTAACCACAATTTTTTGACCATGCTTTATTATTTTTGTTTATTCATTTGTTTGCTGGAAATTAAAACTGAATTTAGAAATAGTTTTGAAAAAAATCTTTGCACTTAACAAACAAAATTAAATATGTAGGCTAATGAATGTCTTCAGTGGAGTGCGAACAACAACGTTTCCATAGACCACAAAAGTAAAGGAGTAAAAAAAAAAAGAGAAAGTAAAAGAGGCCAAATGAAGAAGGATCATTCTTTATCCTTGCGCTGCAAATGGTCTGTTTAACTGTTTTCTCGCTAGTGAAGCATTCAGTTTTTCTACTTACAAAGGGGTCTATTATACACCCAGCGCAACAAGGCACAAGATAAGTTTGCCCTGACATGTTGCTATTTTCAGACCAGTGCAACCTTAATTTTGCCTTTTTCCGCCATGTTGTTTGAATAGCAAATCCATTTGTGCCACCCATGTGGACTCATGGGTGTTTCGGTCTAGAAAAGAGCTGTGTTAAGGGGCATTGTTGGCGCATTGATATTTTGATGAACTAAAATACACTGTGCAATAGACTAGCTGAAAGCAGGTCTAAAGTCCAGCGCAGAGTGTGCTAGTTGTGCACCTCGCTTACACATTGCTCTATACACGAAGGATGTACAGCAATATGCAAATACTGTATATTTATACAAGTGAAAAAGAATTAAAGTGATAAAATATTACAAAAAGATTAAAAAAAAATTCTACTTAAAATAAAAACCACTGCCTTCATCCCTTCTTCATGTCGGGGGTCTTTTTTCAGCTTTAATTTGCTTTTGCATAACGTTATTATTAGTATTATTAATTATATGCATATTTATATTTATTTTATTAAAAACAAGCTAAGATTTGTCCAACTGTCAGATTTTGGACCATATGAGGCATAGGACATGTGTTTGGATTTAACTCGTTTGAATGTTATTTGTTTGCTGGAAGATAGAACTGAACTTAGAAATAGTTTAGAAACAAATCTTTGCAATTAAGAAACAAAATTAATTATGTAGGCTAACGGATGTCTGTGCAAACAACATTGTTTCCTTATCCACGAAAGAGAGAAAGAGAAAGTGAAAGTAAAGACCGATTGGAGGATGCTCATTCTTTATCCTTGCTGCAGATGGTCTGTTTAACGGTTTTCTCACTAGTGAAGCATTCAGTTTTTTCAGCTAACAAAGTCTGCAATGTAAATAGCAAATACATGATGGTGTGATGCAACTGACTCCTAAAAGGAATGGGAGATGAGACTCTGATTGGTTTTATGTATGTTATGCTCAAAACACACCCATAACTCATAAACAGAATAAGCACAACCCTGTAAGAGCGTGCACTGGAGCACAAATCATATTTTTCCGTACTTAAAATAGTAAAAGTGGATTCATATATGCCCTTAGTGCTTTTGCATCATGCACTTTAGACTTTGTAATTAGATTCTTAAAGCACTATGAGTGAGGGAAAACCTCCACATTCTGACTCTGATTGGCTGTTGTCATTTTCCTTTCATCTAGACTTCCACAATTATTGTTTATTTTCAGCTCTGATTTCACCTTTGAGCCACTCCAGCCAATAGCAGAACCGCAACTACTGCGGAGGTGGGGATACAGATAGTAACTCCCCATATAATGGTCAAATTTAGATAAACAACCAATGTGTAAAATAAATGTAATTTATCATACACGACTTTGATACATATATTGCATGTAATATCATAGCAATAACAATGATTTTGCTATATATTGCGCAGGCCTAGTATTTTCACATTTAAAGTTAGCTAATTTATTTGTGGTGTTTCTTCATCAAACATATTTGATAGAAGCCAAAAGCACTTCATATCTAGCACAGAATGCGTGTGATAAGTCTGTGGGTTTGCTGTGTTGCTCGGGAACTTCCATTCTTTTACAGACAGACGTGTGTTTTGTCACTTACTGCTGGGGTGTTGTAGACCACACGCAGACTGAACCATCACATATAAGCTCCCACATATCTGTGCACTCTCATCTGCGAAAGACACACATGAGACAAAGTATACTAATTTTGCAAAAGTGTGATTGAAAGAACTGACAAAACAAAAAACTGCAAAAGGCAATGGAGGCTTTACTGGACTGAACACAGTGAAGAGGAGGTTGTTGAGTCATTCTGAGTTTGATGCAGGAACTGGTGACAGAAAGTAGGTCTGGAGGAACCGTCTCTATACCTGGGAAAAACATACATACACACAAATGTAAGAACTGCAATCAATCTTCAAGACAAAATGTGCAGCAGCATGAAGATACACTCACAGTTTCCGCACTGTTTCTCAATGGCATCTTTCCACTCATTCAGGTCATACAAAGAAAGCAGTCGGACAGTGTGACTCTATGGAAGGAAAAGTAATGACAGACAAATAATTCAAAGGCTTCTACTAAAAACATCACATTTGGTACTTTTTGGACTTTTGCACAAATATGTAGTGATCATTCTTTCAAAATATCCATCCATCTATATAACTATACATCTATCTATGCATCTAACTATATATCTATATGAACTGTTAAAAAAAATCATGGTGTGGGTTAGAAAGGATGTGCTCGTGTGGTTTTACCTTTCCACTGGTGCTGTGTAGGTCTAAAGTAAAAGATGGTGTGTTTGTTAAAAGCCAGATCTCACATTCTTCAAGTTTCCGCCTCAGTCGATCAACAGCACGAGAAACTGACCCCTTGCTTCCTTTCTGTAACAAAAACACACAATTATGTACCTATCAAAAAGTGGACTTACCTTTCATTTTTATTGCTCTTGAGAATTGTTTTAAAAGATTTAGATCATATTTTATATACACACTAAATCTGCAATAACTCCTAGATGCAAAATCTATTATTTTAAATAGAGTTAGGTCCTTCACTAGTGATATCAAAAGCTTTAATTTGTGTATCTGACTTACATCAATATTAATTTGTATATGATAATAACCAAATTTCAGTTGCAAGATGCTTTTTGAATTTCTTGGTTCAAGCCAGAACCGCAAAATATTTCTGTCTACAACACAGAGAAATGCTTTCTGTGTTTAGATGCATTAAATTTACCACAAGGACATCTTTCTGTATATAGATACATACATACATACACACTCTTATATAAATACATACCCTACCAGACAAAAGTCTTGTCACAAATCCAAGGAACAACTTGAATTTTAGGAACAACAAATAATAACTTGACTTCAAGTTGATCGTTTGGTATCAGAAGTGGCTCATATGAAAGGCAAAGGCCTCTATATTACGCTTATTTTACCAAAATATAATATGATCATGCCAAGATTTTTAATTATTTAAATAGGTCAGTAAGGTCTGACTTTGCTTGGACAAAAGTCTTGTCACAACAGAAATAATGTACAGTATAGAATATAAAGTCATGGTGCAGTGGAAAAAGAACTAATATTGTGTCTGAATCCCATGAGCTTGAAGGACTGCATCCATACATCTCCGCAATGACTCAAATAACTTGACTCAAATTCAAATTCAAACTCATCTGGAATGGCAAAGAAAGCAATCTTGCAAGACTCTTTGGATTCATCTTCAATGCCTCCTCCATCTTACCCCAGACATGCTCAATAATGTTCATATCTGGTGACTGGGATGGCCTCTCCTGGAGCACCTTGACCTTCTTTGCTTTCAAGAACTTTGATGTGGAGGCTGAAGTATAAGAAAGAGCACTATCCTGCTGATGAGTTTGCCCTCTCCTGTGGTTTGTAATGCAATGGGAAGCCCAAATGTCTAGAGACCTCAGGCTGTTGATGTTGCCATCAATTCTGCAGATCTCTCGCACACCCCCATACTGAATGTAACCCAAAACTAGGATTTTTCCTTCACCAAACTTGACTGATTTCTGTGAGAGTATTGGGTCCTTGTGGGCTCCAATAGGTCTTCTGCAGTATTTGTGATGATTGGAGATGCAGTTCAACAGATGATTCAGTGGAAAAATCCACCTTCTGCAACTTTTCCAAATGATCAACTAGAAGTCAAGTTATTATTTGTTGCTCTTACAACTGAGATTGATGACAAGACTTTTGTCAGGTAGTGTACACATACACACACACACACACACACACACACACACACACACACACACACACACACAGACACATTTGTTTTTGTGAAAAGTGGGTACATTACATAGATTTCCATTCATTTTATACTGTCCAAACCGTATATTGTATTGCCCTCACCCCACCCTACTCCTAAACCCAATCATCACAGGAGACTGTGTACAGCTTTACTCTCTAAATAACTTATACTGTGTGATTTATAAGCTTTTTGAAAAATGACGACGTCACCAATGTCCTCATTTTTCACCTCCTTTTTGTAATACCTGTCATTATACAGATTTGTGTCCTGATATGTCACAAAAACACATGCACACACACACACACAGTATATATATATATATATATATATATATATATATATATATATATATATATATATATAAATATAAACACACATTTGCGCGCGCGCATACGCACACACACACATACGCGCACGCACGCACACTTCCATTTCTTATGCATGCACATTTTAAAAAAGCAACACTGCACAAGTTATTTTTTTATGTGCAATCCATTTACAGTTTTTCCTCAATGCTTTGCTTTGGCAAATTTGAAATATTTTGTCTGTAAACTGCAAATGCAAATGTCACAACTATTTGCTGGAACTTTAGAACTTTATTGTATGTGTGCAAAATGTACTAACTGACCCAAAATATATAATTCATGTATCAAAATCTAGTTATCACGTCTGTAAGTTGGCTGAGGCCACCAAAATATAAAATTTTTGGTCATTATGTTGGCCACAGAGGTCAAAATGTTTAATTGTATATTCACCAAGACAGTCAACCATGGAAATTAACGTTTTACAAAAATCTGATATTCATTTAGAAGAGTCATTTGTATTTATACTCAACATTACATGATTGTAGTACATGCATTTTTTACATTACCACAAATTCACAAAAATACAAAGTAACATTCATGAAAAAAATATTCTTCTTCTTCTTATTATTATTATTATATGACATCCTATCATTATTCGTAATCATCCTAAATATTATACTAATATATACTAATATTATACTTCCAAATGAACTCCTTCATTCTCAAAAAAATGGCAGTGATTGTGCAATTAGATAATTGGTTAAATTGTATTGCAATTTGGGGTCATCTGCCAATTCAGCAGACATTACAAACAATGTCAATATCAGATATTTATGGAATAATGGAAAATGATTGAAATGATATTTGACAATTTACACAGTGAGAATCAACTCCTCAGTTTTGATCAAGCCTTATGCAATTTGTTGTTGTGCAAACTGCAGACAATTGTACTTACTGCATTTGTAGCATTTGAAATTTGCTCAAACAAATAAGCAGTTCCAATCTGATGTGTACACGAAGCTGATTGTTTAGGATTTCAATTTATTGATTTGAAATAAGAAAAAATTATTTAAGAAATGAGCCAAAGCAATATAGAAAACTGTTAGACCATTTATGGGTAATGTATTTCAGGTTAGAACATGCAGCTCACTCTCTTCAATAAAGTCCAACAAAGTCACACAATATTTTTCATATTTGTTTAGTTTCATGACTGAAAAACCTTCTGAATCATATACAAACTGTCTTACCATGTGTTGCAGGAGTGCTTGTTTGAGCTGGTACATTTTGACTCTGGTTTTACTGATTTTCATTTGGTATTCTGATGAGGGCAGGTGTTCAGCTGTCCAATGGAGCTTTAGGCCCACCAGTGGCAGATACCAGCAAAACCTGTACTGCGCCTGCCTCCTTTAAATACAAACACATCGCTATCAGGCTAATGTGACAGAGCTATTAAAATCCGAAGCATGTTGCATAAAACTGGTTTGGGTTTTTACCCAGATAAGTTAAGTTTGTGCAAACTATGAGATATTGGCCTCAAAACTGTTGGCTGGTTTTAAAGGGTTTTAATTTCATGATGTTAAAATAGGATCCAAAATCCTCCTATTTTGAGGCTGACCGCAACATGATGTTTCCCAACCCACCGAATTGATTGACAATCAGTAATCTCTGTAGTAACTTGTTCAATCATAAAACAGGACGTGCGTAAAGCAACCAGGATTAAAAGATCTGTTCAGCACTCTGTGATCATCAATCATCATGAAATGTGAGCATCAAGAATGATTTTTACAAGTTTAAAACATTTCTAAAACAGTGCATGTTTGTAATGAATTACAGTGATTTTACCATCTTTATAACCACAGTCGTGTGTCTGTACAATATAAAAGAAGATGCTTCAATCCCATTTTGTGGACGTTAAATCAGGTTTATTTTGTACCCTGACATAACGTTAATGCACATTCTGAAAGGCACGAGGGAACACTGGGTGGGGAGAACTAGCATTAAAGGCACAGGCAACAAAACAACTACCATGTGTTTAGAGCAGAAAATCCAATATTCTGAAGGCTATAATAAATAATCTGATGGGTGTTTTGAGCCGAAACGTTACAGACACATTCTAGAGACACAAAAGTATCATCTTAAATCTTGAAAAGGGGTAAAATAAGTGCCATTTAATCCTGTTTCATCACTGTGGTAACTTATGGTCATTTTATTCTGAGTTAGAGTTCAAAAGCCTAAACCGAAGAGTAGCTTTGAAGAAAGGAAAACAAAGCCACCCCCAGTTCCATTTTACTACAAATTAAAGTTTTTTACACTAAAACGTCATTTTTGCTAATAACTTATATTATATAAATTAGTATTAGAACTCTAGAATTATAATTCTATTCCGCCACAGCGGAATGAACCACCAACTTATCCAGCACATGTTTTACGCAGCGGATGCCCTTCCAGCTGCAACCCATCTTTGGGAAACATCCATACACACTCATTCACACTCATACACCACGGACAATTTAGCAATTTACCCAATTCACATGTACTGCATGTCTTTCGACTGTAGAAGAAACCGGAGCACCCTAAGGAAACCCACATGAACGTGGGGAGAACATGCAAACTTCACACAGAAACACCAACTGACCCAGCCGAGGCTCGAACCAGTGACCTTCTTGCCGTAAGGCGACAGCACTACCTACTGCGCCACCGCATCCCCCTAATTGTCAAATAATATTAGTCAATTAATTTTTTTAATTTGATTTTATTATTACATGTTGTGACATACACCTATTTTGGTGCTTCCTTTGGTTAGTCCACTATGTAACCATAGCTTTCTGACACAAGTTGATGTCATCAGGTGGTTCCTAACCTTCCCTGAGTGTTTCGACCCTTACCACAACACTCTCCAGCTGGTGGGTCGGTAAGGGTGGCCAAGCCACTGGCCATCTACTCATGGCTTCCAGCTTTTCTCCTCTCTCTTACTCCATAACCAGCATGAAGCTCGTTCTGCTTCTTTTCCCATTCTGCAAGCAGGATGTTTCTTGCTCTTTTCTTCAACGCCTAAAACTGGCATCAGTTGCCAAACTGACTTTGCAGGAAAGCCTATACACCCTACCTCGACAGGAAACAGCCATGCCTGCCAACCTTTGATTTTACACTCCTGGATTAGTGGTGTGTACTTTAAGACCTTCCTCTCATGAGCATCTTCACTACCCTCCTCCACACAGTCAGCTCAATTAAAATGATTTTACAGTCTTTATCTGACCACAACACAATATCTGGACGAACCACTTCTGAGAACTGCAGTTTTCTTCCAACATCGACTCTCAATTGCCAAGCGTCTGTGGTTCGCAGCAAGCTTGACTTTGCTACTGTCCTAGTTGCGACAGGCCTTGCCCCTTCCTTGATAAAGCTGATGGTTTCCTTATCTGCAATGCTTCTTCTTGCATCTCTCCTGCACAATTGAATCAGCAAGAGTCAACAGCACCTTGTCATGTTGCCATCTATTTCAACCCTGGGTAAAGATGTTTTACACCCTGACAATATGTGTCAGTGTTCACTTTTGGCCACATAGCTTGCAGTATGGGTTGTCTATCAATCCCCACATATGCAAATGAGATGGTGACGGAAGCGTGTCATACACAGAGCGTAGCAGGAAGAAGATCTCCTTAATCTCCATTCTCCATAACTCTCCCATATTTTCTTTCACTTGGGCAGATCCCACTTTCTCCATATTCTCAGATGCTTGTTCCACTGCTTTAGACATACATTTTTGTTTCTCTTAAGCTCTAATTTCTGCCAGCACCATATTTTGTCTGATTGGCGAACTTGCAATTCCAAACTGCTGGAAATGTACAAACCCTAGGCCTTGAAGTCCCATGCTAATATTACCAACTTCAATGAGCTTTCTGCCTGTTCAATGGCTACGTTGACTGCTCACTTTCACCCTTTTAAATATTTACATCTAAATTTTCTTTAATATACAAAGATTTTAAAACGACTGACTTCTGAGCTGTTGGTGATCCTACATTATTAAAATGAGTTGATTCATTTGCACTGATAAAATAAACTTAAACTTTCTGTTTCTCTTTCTGTATTTGTGTTTCGTAAATGTGTTTAAATTCATTATATTTCTGATAATATTCCAAGACAATTTAAATCAAGCATTGTGCAACCACTTAACCAGATCTAAACCAAGTTGGATTTGTTTTGTCTACCTGAAACTGCCACCCAGAATTTGTTCACTTTGTTTTGTGCAACAGGCCTCTGATGAATGAAGCATGATGCCACATGCTCAGTGAGCTCTGGTTGGAGGAAACTCACCCTGCGTTTGTCAGTTTAGCACACAGCAGCATGTCTGTGTACAGGAAGAGGTGTCTCAGGTTGTGCCCACTTTCACACACATCAACCACAAACCCATCACGCATCAGTTGACGTCTCTGCAGACATGCACACATGCATATATGATGATTCATTTTAAAGTTTAACAAATAATCAGCATACAAGGAACACATGTGACACGCATCATGTGAAGCGTTGCAGTACCTCTCCTCTGCACAGCATGACTGGCTGTTTGCACTGCGACCTTTCATTCACCCCAGACATAAAGCTGCTCGAAAGACGGAGCGCTTCCTGCAGTGTGATGCTGTCAGGGTGTTCAGGGGGCGTGTGCTTCCACAAGTCCTGAGGATGAAGCAGAACAAGGTCATAAATCCATAGGTATGAGTGAATATTTATAAATAAATGGGAGATATTGAGCAGTGTCTCACGTGCAAGACGAGGGTGGTTTTCATCACTCTGTCTAACGGCTTGTACAGGAGAGCTGTGAAGTTAAATGAACAAAGAAAGTGTGTTGGTTTTTGCCCACTGTGTTTAGTTGTATCAGTATTTTTCCCTTTTAGGTTTCATAAAGAAATTTTAAAAACATTTTTAAACATTATAGGATATAAATCAAATCAATCAGCCGTGAGGAAAATCACATCAATACAAACTTTTGTTTAAATGTGTCAAAAATGTGTCAAAAAGACAAATGTACAAGACTGGTACTAGATGTTGCTAATAGGGAGATAAAAACATCAATTACATGAAGCATTGTGAATGACACAACTTTAAAATGACTTTAAAAATGATCGAGAAAGATACAAACAGACACTTCTATCTATAGGTGCAAGCAGTAAAATAAAAGTGAACAGCTTTCTTTTTTTCTATAATGTTCTGTCAGTTGTATCATTTCCAATTATTTTCAGATATCCTGTTTTTAGATTTAGTATTGAAAAGTACAGCTGCAAAAAAAACAACAACAAAAACATGGTCATCACATGAATAGCATGTATTGAGAAAATGTCGGAAGACTCGATTTTGTCATTCACAGATTCTGATTGGAGTTGGCAGAGCTAAAGATTTCTTTTAAAATGCTTTACTCAGCGTAATGGTTAATGTAGTATTTCTACACCAATACCATTATTATTAAACATGACTAAGTTGAATTATTGTGAATGGGTTAGTTCAACAAATGTACATACAACCAAACCACAAAACTCAATAGTTTATTGTTAAACCAGTTCCTCCATGGCGTGAATGATTGGGGTTTTACTTCCATGCCAGCTTCTATAGCTATTTGTCACATGAGCAATGTCACACTCATAGCAGTGCGATATGGCTGTATATAGGCAGTGACGATATACAGCCATATCGCACTGCTATGAGTGTGATATTGCGTTTATACAACAGTTTGATGGCAGAATCGTGTATATAAAAAAAAATCCTTTTGTGCGAGGAACTACTTTTTTCCACCATTCAATCACAACTGCAGCTGATGTCAGAAAAGCAGAAACCACTGCTACTTCTTAATAGGCACTTTAGAGCTAGCTTAATGTCAAAACAGATGATTTTGCTCACATTTTAAGATTATAAGGCTGAACAGCATGAACTGCCATCAGTCTAGAGACATTTCCCATTATATCTCTGTTGCAATCGGGTGATCACAATAATTAACCCCAAAAAAGCCAAATCAACATAATCACTATTAGATTACTGTTATGTTTGTGATAGGGAAAAACGCTAAACACATGCGGACATTTCTTCTTGCTTTCTTTTTACTGAACTAGTATACAGTGACGGAAACAGGAGACTGATTAAAAACAAACACGAACACTTTTATGAGATGGCTAACCAAAACAAAACTCAGGGCTATACAAAGAGTGGCCGACACAAAATACATACATTCCTGATATGCGAGTCCCATCTCTGACTCCACACACTACATTTACTATAGTAAATACAGCACTACAGCATACAAAAGAGACAGATCAACTCGGAACATCACTTACCAGTTTAATAATGATTTGATAAGTTATAGTTAGAAATTACAAGTTTTTCTCCTCTAATATCTTATCATACTGTCTCTGTCGCCATCTTGTGCATGAACAACGTCAACCGTCTTTGCTCTGCTCAATGACAGGCTGATGGATGCCGACGCACTGCATCTCAGAAATTATAAATATTTCAAAAATAGGCACTATACTGTGTGTCATCCTGGAGTGAGCAAATCTACAGGGGTATAAATAAACTGGTTCCACTGATTGGAAATTTCTTTCTTTTTTAAACATTAGGGCTTTTATTATGGAGTTTGTTTCGTGTATGCTGATCCAATTCTCTTTAAAAACATCCACAGAACCATAAAGACAAGCAAAAATGAACTGTTTACCTTCAAAGGTATATTTAGTTTTCACATTGTCTGAGCTCTTGGAGGACATCATACTCTAAATATAAAGAGAGAAAAAGATCTGTGTGGTTTACTATAAAATCCAATAAAGATAAAAATGAAAGAGGAAACATGTAAGACCTCTGCAAGTATCCGGAAGCGTTGGTCTGACAGCATACACTTCTGCACAATCTTCACTGCGTTCTCATAGTTGTCAATAAAGCCCCGGTACACTCCTAACTGATTGACCTGCAAATTATTTCACACACACACACAAAAAAGATATTCATGTAATGGCTGCTTACTCCTCACAATGTGTGTGCCTGTGTGTCTGTCTGTTTGTCTCTGACTGTGTCACTTTGGATAAGAGTGTCTGCTAAATAATGTATTATAATGTAATTCTTTACTTTTAAACTCAGGTTGCTACGTGACATGACATACAGTAAAAAATGTCAGTAACTTTTAGTATAGTACAGAACAGTAAAAGTATGCATAGCCAAAATATAGATAAATGGTGATAGATAAATGACATAAAAGCGGCACAAAACCTGTGGAAAGTCTCTGGACACATCTATGCTTACAGCTGATCATATTGCACATGCACTAGTAGAAAGTTCCACAAACATTACAGAAGGGAAATACTTGAATTATGCAACATGGTTGGGGTTTGTGGCAGGCACTGCTATTAAACCAATATTTAAAATCTTTCAAATTTAATATCAGCTATTGTTAATAAATTATCCACTTTCTGCTTGGTGGAACTCAACGTTCAATCCTATCCCATTCTTTATGGGATCTATTTTAATAATAATTTGCCCTGTTTAGTACATCAACATTTTCATGTTACTAATACTTATTTTTAGATACTAGCATCACTTTCATTAAGTACTACTTATTCATTGGATATTAGTACTTATTCATTAGATACTAGTGCTTATTCATTGAAAACTATTGCCTATTCTTAAGATACTAATGCTTTTTAAAAATATACAAGTGCTTACTCAGACACTAGGGGCTCTATTTTAACAAACTAGGCGCAAAGTCTAAAGAGCAGGGCGCAAAAGAAATAAGGGGGTATGCGAATCCTCTTTGGCTATTTTAAGGACAGAAAAATAAGCTCTGTGCAGCCCAAGGATAAAGTATGAGCCTCCTCCAATCAACCTTTATTTTCTCTCTTTCGTGAATAAAGAAACAGTGTTGTACTCACTCCACTGAAGACAGTCATTAGCCTACATCAGGGCTATTCAATTAGTTTGGCATGGGGGCCGGTTCATGAAAAGCATCCCAAATGAAGGGCTTGAGAAATATGACTTGCTATATGAGTGATAACACAACTGAATTTAAGAGCCCATATGCTGTATTTGTGCTCATAAAGACACCCATGGTGGCTTTTTCTACATTAAAAGTTTAAGATATTGTATTTTAAAACAACTGCATTGTCCAATTGACTTTTTTTTTTGTTTACAAACATTCAAAATGTTGTATTTCGCACAACAAAAGCAGTGCATTGCTGAAGTAGGCTTCTTCTACATTCAGACACATTCATATGTTATGTTTTGAACAGCATAACAATTAGTGATGCAACAGTATAGATTTTGGTTGTACGTTTATATAGTTTGAAGAATAATCATGCTTTCACGGTTATCACCTCTAATGTAAATTCAAGCTTTATATTGGGTAAGTATAGCTACAGTATTCAGATTAACTGTTGTTATCATCTGGGTTCATGCATACATAATCATTTTAATAATAATTAGTCTAACAAATCTTTTGTTTACATTGCACTGAAAAGCACGCACAACTCTCACCGTGAGATGTTTTCTACTGCGTGCGCCCGGAAAGACACAAGCGCATTGCTCCGCTTGTGCGCACATATTGTCATTCTTACATTAGAAGTAACAAACTTGCAAGCAGAAAAGACGTGATATGGGAACGGCCGCTGCTATAGTTAATCCGAAGTGCGTGCGCATTAACCTCAGTGTACATACTTTGAACTTTAAACTAGCGTACAGTTGGCAACTTGTCATAACTTTTCCCTGCAACAGAAATGCGGCTCAGAGAAGCCTTTACGATTAATTAACTGTGACGAAAAAAAGCGCAGTTAATAGTGAAATCAGCTAATCGTTGCATCCCTATTAATGATTACTGTGCATTGTACAAAAGGCATTTTCTACAAAACATATCCAAATGCTTTCGGCTGCCCGCACCACTCGCTAATGGTGACTCACTCTTCGCGCAACCTCTGCAGCTCATACTGAATTAAACAGATGCACGTCACTTTATAACTGTAGCGGCCGTTTTTCGAATGAACTAAATATATTTTTATGTCTTGGTCACACTATTTGGAGGGCCAGAACAAATTGCCTCAGGGGCCGGATTCGGCCCGCAGGCCACCAATTAAATAGCCCTGGCCTTTAATTTCGTTTGTTAGGCGCAAAGATTTGATTCTAAACCATTTCTAAATTCAGTTTTAATTTCCAGCAAACAAATAAATGAACAATAATAACGAAATGTGCTAAAAAAAAAAAAAAAAAAAAAAGTTATATTCAAACACATGTCCTATGCCCTATTTGATTTAAAACCTGACAAATGGAGAAATCTAAGCTTTTTTTTAATAAAACAAATATAAATATGTATAGAATAAATAATATTGCTAATTTTAATAATAACAATAATAAGAATATTAACAAAAGCAAGTTGTAATGAATAAACTGAAAAAAGCCCCCCGAAATGAAGGGATGGAGGTAGTGTTTTTTATATTTATGAAGAAAGTAATCATTTTTGTAATATTTTAACCATTTAATTCTTGCTGTACATGTGTTGTATTGCTGTACATCTTGCTTGTTTGAAGTAATGTGTAAGCAAGGCGCACAACTATTGTGCTCTGCACTGGTCTTTAGACCTGCTTACAGCTGGTCTATTGCACAGTCTATTTTTGTCCCTCAAAATATCAACGCACCAACAATGCGCCTTCACACACCTTTTTTCATGACTGGAACACCCATGAGTTCACAAAGTGGCACAAATAGATTTTCTATTTAAACAACGTGGTGGAAAAAGGAAAAATTAGGGTTGCGCTGGTCTGAAAATAGCAACACGTTGTGAACAAACACATCCTGCGCCTTATTGTGCCGGGTGTGTGATAGGGCCCTAGTTCTTTTTATTAGATACTAGTACTCATTCATTAGATAATAGTACCTATTAAATAGATACTAGTACTTATGTATTAGATACTGGTACTTATTCATTAGATACTAGTATCTATTCAATAAATACTAGTACTTATTTAATAGATACTTTTTTATTTACTACAAGTAACAACAGAATAGTTACTAGTCACTATTAAAATAACTACTAGTATCTAATAAATAAAAACTAGTATCTATTTTTTTAAGAATTAGTATCTAATGAATAAGTACTAGTATCTAATACATGAGTACTAGTAATAGGTTTAAAAGGAATTAGCATCTAATGAATGAGTACTGGTATCTTATTAAAAGAATTAGTGTGTAATGAGTCAACACGAGTATATTTTTATAATGTAATAACGCAATCAAATAAGTCAGCAGTTTCACATTGCACCAAAGCAGAGAGAATACAGAATCATCAAACATCAACAATGCTCTGTCAATTGTGCACTGCTAATCCATGCTTAATATAATAAGTGTTATTATAATATAACTTACAAACTTCAGAAAGACATCTCCCACGGATAAATGATGCTCCCCTTGGTAATGCTGCATCACCGGGCCCTCATCCCTTCCGAGGCTTTGTTGTGACCCCTGATCCATCACGTTATCAGGATGCAGTTTAGTTTGAAGGCTTGTGTAAAACTGCCGGTGCAGATCTCTGAGTTCAGGCACTTGATAAAACACTGTCTGAACTTGCTCAGTGGACAAAACGGGTTGTGAGGTACCTGCTGATGCCTTCAGTGCTTTCATGGGCTGAGAAGAAAGAGAGAAATGATGCAGATGCCAAAATGAAAGATAGATTGGGAACTGAAAATTGCACATGCTGATAAAAGTTGAAGTAGCAAGCTGAAGCATTACACGCGCATTGGTGGTTCCAAAAATGTAAACACCAGACGTGAGTTAAATAAAATCATAAAATATTCATGCCTGACATCTTGTAAATGCCTGACACCATTCCTGTGAGGAAGTGGTTTAGAAACATGATACCAATCACTTCAACATTACGTTACACGTCATTCAGGACTTTCTGGACTCTCTCTTTTTAAATGATTTGACAAGAAAGGGAAGCAATACTTGACAAAGAGAAACAGAAGTTGACCTGCAGGAAGTGACAGAAGGGAAGAACATTTGGTTTGAATAATATCTGACTTCTAGATGACAATGATAAAAAGCCCAGAATGAGGCTATTAATGGCACTGATGTTGAGCTTTCTGTTTCAATAAAGCCCTTCATGCAGGCTTGGCACTAGTTTAATAGTATAATTTTTGCATAGTGTAATTTTTTTCTATCTTTGTGCTTGCTGAAGTGTGATTTTGTTTACTTCACAGTCCAATAGGACAATCTGGAAAGTAGATATCAAGTTGAGAAGGTGCTTGTACCGTGAGCAGCGTTTCAAGCTCCATCAGGTAGATCTCCTCACTGAGCAAAACCCTTTTCAAAACGACCATTCTCTTCTGAAGCAGGTCATCTGGGTTATCACTTGTCTGAAAACACATTGTGCTTAAGATTACAAATTTTCAACTTACTTAATTCCCTAGCAAGCATTTTTTATTTTTAAAAGATGTCTAATAGACGTCTAATATACGTCTAAACATTGTCGTCTTGGCTAAAACAAGGCTAAATTTGGGCTGACAGTCAAAATCAAATAGACATCTAAGAATAGGCCAAAACTAGACTAGTCATCAAATAAAGAGAAATGAATGACTACACATATAAAGTCTGTCTAATCTGTCTATCTGACGACTAGTCTGGTTTTGAGCTATTCTCAGATGTCTATTAGATTTTCACTGACAGCCCAAGTTTAGCCTCGTTATAGCCAATGTGTCTATGTTTAGACGTCTAATAAACACAAAACTATTTGCTGGGTCAGCACTGAGAATCTATGACAAAGACTATACACTTGAATAGAGCTATTGATATACACTGGTGACGGTAAAATGAATCAACATACAAACAGGACCTCACTAATAAGATATTTCTGTCAGTTCTTACTGGTGTGGATGGCAAACATGGTTCAGTTTGCATAGAGTCATGAGACCCCCAGTCTGACTCCTCAGGGAACACATCATGTAGTAGGTCAGAATCCATCATTTCATCCTCAGTCACTATTAAAATATAAAAACACACCAGATTATCGGATGACAGCTCAGAAACAGTCATTGATTATTATTGGTGTAGTTACTATTAAACAAAACAGTGGTACCAGGTGAGATGCCATAAGCCTTCAGATATTCCACAGCCTCAGAAAAGAGCTCCATCAGCAGCAGAGAGCAGCTCTTCAGCTCGTGATGTGAATCCTCTCGCTATCACACTCTGACAGTTTGAGGTTGACAAGCTCACGTTCTTCCTGCTTCTAAGACATAGGCGGGGAAAGTGTCACGTTCATTAAAAAAAAGAAAACAAGTCACGTTACTTAGGACAGGAAGCTACTGCTTACCTACTTTAAAAATATGTCGTGGATCTCACCAATGCTGCATTTATTTGATTAAAAGGTCAAGTACTCAGGTGTCCCATAGATCTCATTCAACCAATGCCAAATTAGCAAAACAAAGTCCTGATAGAAGTGATGCCAGTCAGTGCTGTAAGCAGTCTCCTGCTAACCATCTCCATATGTTCTGGAGTTGCCCTAAATTGACACATTTCTGGAAACATTTCAATGTTCTTGAAACACTTAATGAAGCTATTAAAATAAATCTAGACCCTAATGCCTTGACCGCCCTTTTGGGATTTCAGAGAGCGTTGACCTGACTGTTGCATCTCGCCAGGTTATTGCTTTTTCTACTCTTTTAGACAAGACATTGTCATCGATAGAAACAGGTACTTCCTCCATCACATGACATGTGGAACTGAGAAATCTTTAGCTGTGTAAAACTTGAGAAGTTAAGATGTTTACTTGCAGGATCTCTCAAAGCTTTGTGCGGTTTATTTATTAACTAATTTCAAGAGGATCACATGCTTTTGAATAGGATCATACAGTTGCTTAAATCACTTGAGATGCTATTTACAAATAACACTAGTAAAATGATAAACAGCATCTAATATAATGTGATGAAGAATGCATATGTAGCCTATGTAAATTTGTCACAGTTGTAAAGTGCTGGAAAAGTTTTAAAATGCACCTGGAAAGTGATTGAAAAGTGCCTAAATTTGACGCCTTAAACTGTAAGAACTGTGAGTTCTGCGCTAACCAGAAAATAACTATGCTCACTAGAATATTCACTAGCCAAACAAAATCAAAAGGCTTTAATAGTCCCGTCGTATAGAGTAATTAAACTAAAAGGACACCTGTCTTTCTTTCTTTATTTCGACACGTCCAAAAAGGGAGTGAAAGTGCAGCACACTGATCTAGCTTCTTGACAATAAAGTTCAGGTTTGAAGACCACTGTTGCCAATTATATCTAATGAAAAGTACACTGTAAACGATTTCTTGTTAAATTAACAGTAAGTTACTGGCAACAATTATCCAGTAGCTGCTGTATTTCATAAAACAGTAACATTACTGTAATACTAATTACTTTAGTATTACATTTACTGTAAAATGTAATACATCATTTTACTGTTTTCTTTTTTTACTGTAACACCAATTACAGTAGTGATACACATACTGCAAAACTGAAAACAGTATTGTACCGTACATTTTTACCATACAGAACTACGGTATTTTAACGTTACTTTCATTATTACTGTATAGTATTTTACAGTTATTAAATGTTATTTTATTGTATTTAATAGTGCTACTTTGTAATGAGCAAAAATGTTCAAAAATTGCACAAATGTTATTTTAACTGTTCAAGAAATACAAGAAAAATAAAGAAACTGAAACTTTAACTTCACAATAAAAGTTTATTGTGTAAACCCTACTGAAACAGTAGCAATTATTCAATATAACAAAGCAACAACACTAATGAACAATTGATCATTAAAACCAGTCAACAATTAATGCATCAAAAAGTATTAAAATTTTAAAAACAGGTGAAAATACTGCTACAAGACAGGAAATGATGAAGGCCAAATGATGTTGTGGAAAAGGGACAGTGAAAAAGGGCAGCAGCATGATGATGATCCTGCAAAAATGACAAGCAAAATCAATCACTGAAGTAAAAACTAATCATGCCTCAAATTATTTCATTCACTTAGAAACCAAAAACCGCACTGCTGTTTTATATATATAAAAAAACTGTTCTTTATCGTTTTTGTTGGCAAAATACAGATTGTTGTCTATTTACAATTACACTAACATTAATGGGGAAAAGATCAGTCAAGTTAACACTAGTCAAAGAGTCCACACAGGTATGTAAAAAATAAAGTCTCTCCTTAACTTAATGTCTGACTCTGTATAGCTTAAATATCTGATTCCATGACCACACTACTAGTGCTTCCACGGATTTAAGAGGGGTGAACACAGTTCATTCTGACCTTAAGAGGCTACATATTAAAAATAAATAAATAAATAAAATAATCTAATTTAACGTGACTAATGTTAATCAAGTACTTTTAAGCTTTTAACATGTGAAAATCTACTTCTAACTTACAGACAAGATTACGTTAGAGAACATGAAAGCCGTGGGTGATTTAAAAAAAAAAATAATGCTAATGATAAGTTACTGACATTTGGTTCGCATAAAACAAAGTAATCACTAAGCATTCATTCTTGTCAAAATCTGCCGAGAGGCGCAGCAACACGATCAAATGTGTTAAAGTTGAGCAGAGAACTGAAGAGTAGTCAAACAGTCTACTTCATGAAATGTTTTGGGTAATATTCTGCGGTCAATTCGTATAACTGTATTTCAATATGCAGTGATGGCATGTCAATGAGACAAATAAATATTATTACACCTCACCAGTGACATTTCCTCAAATTAAATCATCATGACGTTACTGTGCACAGCATCAGTAAAACCTTAAGAATAATTTAAATACCAAATTTTTTAAAACAGTCACTGCTGATTACAAACTAACAATAAATAAGGCTTACAGAAATCCTGAATGCATGATAATATGAAGATTTATTACTCACTGATGTCGAAGCACTTCCAGGTTGTCAGAGATGTAGACAGGACAGAATATGTGCCATCAAATGAGCTCTTGTGCAGCCTTTGTTGGACATCCAGGTAGTATGTTCACCCACACTGTGTAAAAAAAAAAAAAAAATCTGTTATTTTACATGTTTTTTCCCAGCAGCTAGGGTAATAGAGTCATTTGGTTAAGTCAAGTGGTTTAAAATCATTTTATTTATTAAATACTTGATTACCCATATATAGATGTAAAAGTAACCAAAATAAATAATTTATTAAAATGTGTGGGATACTAAGCATGTTTGGTCTACAGAGAGAAGTAAACATTTATTTTAAGCATTGATTCTAATGAATCTATTTCTGAACTACATTCAACCTCGCCTAGGAAACAGCATTTTTGAGCATTTAGATCAGGGGTGCTCAACCCTGTTCCTGGAGATCTACCTTTCCACAGAGCTCACCTGCAACCTTGATCAAGAACACCTGTCTTTATTTACCAAGTGGTCCTTAAGATACTATTTAGTTTGTTTAGTTGCGTTTGATCAGGGTTGGAGCTAAACTCTGCAGAAAGGTCGATCTCCAGGAACAGGGTTGAGCACCCCTGTTTAAGACAATGAAAAATAAGACATCTAGATGATATTTTATATTCAGTCATTTGTGAAATTTAAATGACTTATATTCAGTATATACATAACATAAAATTAGAATAAGAATAAAAAGCAATACTCTATGCCAAATAAAATACTTCAGATCTAAATAAAGGTGTTTTTACCTAAAGGTTCCTTTCCTCCGGTTAGTTTAGTTGCAGAACCCTCCACATCTGTGCTTTATTTGGTTCTTGACTTAAGAGTAACTGGTGTCGCATTCCAGGTCCATCACAATCTGAGCTAGAAAGACAATATGGCAAAAGACAAGACACATATAAATAAGTCTCAGAATAAAATATTTAAAAGGATAGTTTACTTTTCTGCCACCATTACTCCATGTGTTTTAAATCCATTTGAATTTCTGTTGAACACTAAAGCAGATATTTTGAAGAATGTTAGAAACCTGTAACTATTGACATCCATATTTGAACCAAAATTCTTTAAAAAAATATACGAGTTTGTGTTCAATGGAACAAAAAAAAAAATCGAACTATTTTGAAACAAGTGGAGGATGCCAAAGATGCTATTATTTTCATTTTTGGGTGAACTGTCCCTTCAATTCAAGTGTCACGCATTACTCATAAAAACTGATGTATCGCTTGAGGAAAACTAAATGAAGTACCTCCTGTGAGCAAGCAGAATCATTTTGCCATTGTATTCAGCCAACTGACCCAGCCGAGGCTCGAACCAGCAACCTTCTTGCTGCACTACCTACTGTGCCACTGCGTCGCTACTGGAAGAAGAAAAAGAGGTTGTACATGAAACTCCTCACAACAAATCTGTGAACAATTTGACATTTCAAAATCTAATCAAAATGAGGAAGACATCAACATTACCTTGAATAATCAAGTGAGGAGAGATTGGTAGCATCAGTTTTTCAACATCAATTGCTGTAGCTGCAAAAAAGATAAATATAATAAAAGTAAAATAAGACTTAACATTTAATAATCTAAATCTATGGTACAACCATACCAATCTGTATGGGGTTCAAATAAATTTGTATACAAATCATTCCCTACACCTAAACACCAAAAATAAAATGTACAATTAATGACACACTATACAATAAGCTCATTAACCAGTGAGAAATAGACAATTAATATGAATTATGTTAATATTAAGGTTAGCTTAAAAGACATCAACTGAATTTTATTATCAGCTCAATTTAATAAAACAGTTTAGACTTGTTTCATTGTGAGTTTATTTTGAATAACTAAGTTAACTTACAGTTAACAAATTTAACCATAATGATAACTTAGTCAAAATGACCACATGAAGACCAGAGCTTACCTTAACGTTAAACGTTTAACTTTTCATGGTGACTTTGCCTCCATCTCAGTGTTGTGCTGAAATAGAGAATTCAATAATGCCGTTAACACGAAGTAGAAGTTACGTTTTTTTTTCAGGTAACGTTACTATGGTCAAAAACTCACTCAAGATAAACTCACTGTACATTATCTAATACCTCGCAAACACTACAAACACGGTCTGGCGTCGAATAACGTGACATAAGAACCTACAACTTAAGTACTTGGTTAATTATTTTAAATTACACACACACTACACGGAAATATACACAAAACAATCCTTTAACGAACAGACTTTGACTTTTAAACACTTACCGAGGATGAATTTACTGGAAGAAAAGGCGACAGGTGGATTTCAAATTAGGAGAGCCGTTGCTTGCCTGGTGAAGGTCGAATCGAGTCGGCTCGGTTCTATGAATCGGCTCCTTAGAGCAGTAAAGAGTCGAATCCG